ACTTTTCCTATGACTTTGACAGACAATCGATTGTTCCAATTTTGACACGTCGCCTCTTTATAAATTTAGGCTCTTTAGTTTGACGGAGTTGATGCCAATGATGCCAGGAATGTAAAATAGTTTTTTTTTTCTATTTTTATTTGGATTTTATTCTGAGTTTCTACCTCAGGTTAGCAGCTTGATCATCATTTTTGCTCAACACAATAAAAACAACCATAAACAAACATCAATATCCTAGGGGTGAGACAGCTTTTGATAAAGTAAATTTTGAGACGCTCTGAGTATCTCGAGTTGCTGAATATTATATGCACGGTGACATAGCAACCTGTTAGTTTTGACTTCATTCCACGATTGTCAAGCAAAGACGTTTGACGAGGAAAGTCTACGGTCATCATTTAACAACATTACATACCGGATTGCCAACCACAAAATCCGTGTCGCAACCTGCAAACCCTGTGTATGCTTATCATTGGTTGACGATGATAATAATTGTATTTTCAAGTGAATATGGAGTTGACATAATTTAACGTATTGATGACAGCCACCAACAAGATTCCAAATGTGTCAGTGCCCCTTACAAGTTTCACTTCACGTGGCGTCAAAGACGACTGTTTTGTGATTCCAGGACTGTATTGCTGAATGAAAACGGAAGTTTTTGATGGTAGTTTGTCTCTTCCTGCAGTTTTCACAAAGTATAAACCGAGATTATTGGAAAGATCATAGTCTAGTCACATATACAAATTTACTGCTCTATCAGAACAATTCAAACTAGAATTCGCAACTCATGTTGACTTATTTATATTTAAGATGCTGAAATTAAATCATGCATTTGAAGTGGTTTCAACTCTTAATCTTGATCGATTTTGCTTGATTTATCAAATCTTGAACAGGTTTAAAACTAGGATTAGGTCCAAGCAGCACTTTTCCAATGTATGATCATTATAAGAGACAATGCCAAAACTGTTAATAGAATGCTAAATTAACCATCGAAAGAACACACCCTTTGCAACCCGTAATAAAGCACGCCAAATAACGGGTTCGTTTCTCTGGATCATATCGGAAATGTCTTTTGCTGATTTGTCAAATTGTTTTTTGCCCACGATAGTAGAGACCACGCATATAAGAGTAATTCATACTGAAAAGAAGCACGCACGGATTAATGATTATTTGATGTAAGAATACAAAAATAAAATACTGATAGGATCACTCTGACACTCTGACAGATAATGTATGTTTATATTGATATAATTTTTAATTTCTTGACGAATGTGAGACTACTTTGATCACTTTTGAGTAAATATGAGTTACTCAAATCAGCTCGCTGTGAAAATATTAACTCTGAGTACAGCCGTCTTGCCCCTAGCCTATATCCATTCCTTAAAACAGGCAGGGCACTCAGTTGGTCAACTTTCCTTTCGCAAAAATAAACAATTAACAACGCCATTGAAGTCAACATTGATTCCGGCATCACTGCCAGCCAGATTGATGCGATCCCTCTATCCTTTTTATTCCATGGATTGCTACTGCCAAATCGACCAATCAGAAACTATAGTCGCTATATTCATAGTCTGGCGGATATAATCTCGGGAACCAATTGAGCTGTCAAATAGCGGAACCCATCGAGCAAATCACGACCAACAACAGAAAAGAGCACATCAGCTATTGTGAACATAACTTCGGAAACCGTTTTCACGTGACTCAAGGTTCGCCTACGCAAACCACAATATATTGAATTGGTTCCGCTTTTTGATAGATCGACCAGACTATAAATATAGCGACTATATCAGAAACTGGCTCGAATTTGACAGCAAATTGGCTTGAAATCGCTACCCGATTGTCAAGTCCCGTCCCAGGTGTATAATAGAACTTCTATTACAAAACATTGTCAAACTTATCAAATTTATTGCTCAATGTCTCGTCTTGCTTCTACTACAAGCCTTGCAATGTTGTTTAATATCACTTGGAAACATATGATCTGGGTCTTCTATGGCCATATTCTGAATAACATATAACAAGGCTTGCAGTATGAACAAGGCAACACGGCGAATGAGAACGACTCAAATTTGAGTTTAGTTCACTCATAATCGCCAAAAGTGCAGGAACTCAGCGATGAGTAAATTTGCCTCATGGTTTCCTGTGGAAAACCTAAAAAATTTGCCGGAAAATGAGGAAATTGACGAAAATTTTATTCAGTCTCGGGGTAGTACCAATAGACGGAGTGAATCCAATCTTTACTTTTCTCAAATTCGGGAATTTTTCCCTGGAAAATCCTGGAAAAACCTGGGAAAACATGAGACAAATTTTACTCATCGCTGAGTTCCTGCACTTTTGGCGATTATGAGTGAACTAAACTCAAATTTGCGTCGTTCTCATTCGCCGTGAATATATTTATTTATGCTACCGCGAGGCAATTAATTTAAAACCAAAACCATAAGATAACCACATAGTTGCATCCCGTTTGCATAGCCCTAGCTGACGTTGATACCAAGGCCAAGAATATGAAATGAAAAGTAGGGCAAAAGGAGCGAGAGCTCGTTTTACATAATCTAACTGCAGTATTTACTTAGGAACGTTTCTGCGTTCAAGTAGGATAAACACGCCCACGCATGGCATGCTTGCGCATCTAGGTTACGTTTAGCTTTCCCTCTCTGTTTATCCTTAACGAAGGATATAATTATAATGTTTAAACGTTACAAATGTTTCATTCTTATTTGTAGAGCCATATCAGATCTGAGTTACAAAAAGAAATAAACTTACAAGATAACCCGAGAAATCCCAGATCTGAGAGGGCATAGTATATAAGATCCAAATAACACAAATTTACCCTTTCAAGGGCGATCGAAATCCTAGCTAATAGAATAGGCAAAATTAGGTCAAAAGTCCGGTATTGAAAGGGATATGTAAAACCCTGGACGAACCAAGTAAAAGTTTTACATAATTACAAGTTGCTAATGCAACACGTAGCTGTAAGATCACTTTGTACAATTTTGTTGAATAAAATTAAGTTTCATAGGTTACTCCAGATTCTTCTCTTTTTTGAATCCGAAAGAACTTTCGGCCTAGAAGTGAAAACTTCTCTCCTTAACCGGGGAAAAAAGTAGCTCCTAGAATCGAGAAACAGTGTCTGACCTGAAAGCGAAAGACTCTCCTTAACCGGAGAAGAAAGTAGCTTTTGGCGGCGACAATTTAAATCAAAGATATCTAATTAACAAGATATCCCACTACTCAATTCCTCATACAAGGCATATAATTAACACCCGTATATGATCGCAGTGCCATCTGTTGAGTGCACATTGAAACTGTTGGGAGTTCCCCGCCAACTTCACCACCTGGGCTCAATAACTGACAGGTGTCAGCATGATAGATGTCAATGCGGACGTTGATGATCAGCCGAGGAAAAAGGACGATATCATCCTCGAAGTCATCATCATTATATTGCGATAGCAAAATTCTTACTTGTTTGTGATTGTTCCGATTTTCAATCATTACCACTTTATACGCAACAGAAACACTGGAGAAAACAATCACACATCCAAGCGCGCATCATGATGTGCTTGTAATATGTTTTGCTTCCGAGCGAAAGAGTTTTAAATATACCACCGGTATCAGTAGGATGCAAATCTCTAATAGTAATTGATGATTTGCGGAGCTGGTGCTCAAAAGAATCTTAATAAACATAGAAGTAAACATGGGAAAAGCATTCACTCTCTCTAAAGAATTATTCCAACACCCCAGTCACTGGAAATGCAACGTATCGAAATCATTGCTAAACGTAATAAAATATACCGTCTTGGTCTTGGCCAACGCAGCACGCATTGTATTAAAAAATTACATTGGAATACTCATTACTTCCTATTTTATAACATAGGAAGTATTTGTCAACGCCGGTGAAAGCAAACGCAAAAGGAAGTAGCCGAAGCTGAATGAAGACGATGAGTGATGGCACCGCTTCGTGTTTTGATTTGCGCTGTACCGTCCGGTCAGTTGTGTGGGTTCGTACATGTTTAGATGTTGGTGTGCGTGTTTTCTTCCAACGCTGCAGTTCAACGTTGTCTCGTCACAAACCGTTTGGCGCTGTTATCTGTCTCTAAAAAATCTAAAGAGTTAAGGTTCAGCTGTGGCGGCGCACACGACGGCCTCCAATCATCAAATTGATTGGAAAAGTGCGAAGCTCATCAAAACAATACGAAAACCCTCACACCTCAATGCATGGGAATCAATGCATATCAACAACACACAGGAACCACTGATGAATGAAGATGATCCTCCCATCACATCATCTTTGTTCAACTTGACGAAGCTGAAAATACAGTAACAACTCTCTTCTCTGGACGTCTACACAACAGCGTAGCAATCCTATTGTAACCAGTCGGACATTGTCCCGTAGATGGGCAGCATCGCGCCCGAAACCGGTCGACAGAAAGGTAATTTTTAATCCGTTTTAAATGTTGTAAGAACGAAAAGTGTTGTGTCTTGTCTCGCGTCGCGTGTTATGTGTGTGAGTTAAGGGGGTCTGTTTAAATCCATTTTCAGCATAAATGAAATCCAAGGATAAATTAGTTAAACTTAAAGTGATAGATTGTTAATATGAGTATGGTTGATATTTCGAGTTCAAAGCACTGCACATCAACAACGATGTGTAATACAGTCTAAAACGAAGTGATTTGCTGTTGATTTAATTGTGCTTCGATATGATCTCTTCCAAAGGATTTGCACATCGAATTGCAATGTTTGGCAAGTAGTGCAAATTCAACAGCAAATCACATTAATTACATTAACATGAGGTTTTTTTTATCGTGTATAATAAATTGAAAAATCGAATAAACCATTTTTAAAAAAATAGGTGAGAGTCAAAATCGATTTGTTAGTCGGCTTTGCTCAATTCTCAACAGAGTCAACTTTCATACTATTCTGCTACGGTGAGTTAGCTTCAAAAATACACTTTCCAAGGAGACGCATGGTAGTTTACAAAATCACATTTCTCATCTACAGGCACTTACCACCATCGTCAGTGTCAGCTTCCCATCCCGGATGCCGTCCCGAATCTTGACCTGTATGCACTGTTCGTTCTTGAACTGCACATAGTCCGGCGCCACCTCCTCGATCTGATCCATAAACACTAGATCCGGCTTCGTACTACTGCTTTCCGTATGCAGTTCTAGCCTGTTTGCGACGAACGCGAAAAACAAAAAAAGAATCTATCAGTCAACGAAAGCCCATCGATAAATATAAGACTGCATACCTATTTGGATAAAGCTTCGCGTACCGCGTCTGCCAAACCGTCGCGAACGAACCGCTGTACTTCTTGAGATACCCGTGCAGTATGCAGTCCGAGTCCTTCTCGTCCGCATCGAACTTCTGCTTTTGCTTGGCTTTCCGCTTCTGCTCCAACCGATCCGCTTCCAGATTGACGGTTTCGAATACTGTTTCCGCTACCTCCTGCTGCCATCTGCCAATGGAGGGGGGTTTTCATGTGAAAGTGTTAAGATCGAAAAACGTATTACGTACCTTTCCGAAATGGTCAGCGGGAAGTACTTGTAAAGCTCTTGATCCTGTTCAGTCAGTTTGATACCTTTGGTGTCCTCTTCGTCGAACGAACCGATATCGAAGGCGTCCGCTGCGTTGACCTCCCCCCGGGGCGGTATCAGTGGTGGGGTGTACTTCTGGTAGTACACCTGGTTCCAGTCGATGCCGGCAAAGAACGGATGGGCTTTGACTTCGTCCGCTCTGAAAGTTAAAGTTCAGTTGAGTGTTTTACCATTTGATTCCGAGGACAACCTACCCTCCCCCTTTACAGCCTAATCGTTTGTCTATGTCCCGTTGTAGCAGTCCTTCCAGCAAGTCCCTCAGTTCTTTGCTAAACGATTCCGGCAGTTCGACATTCTGTGGAGGACAATCACCGAAATCAAATGTTATCTGGAAAATATAGCAAGGCATCCGCACACAAAGGCTCACCATCGTCAGTGTCATCCGGTCGATTTCGTGCTTGTCCTTGGTCTTGTGCTGCCGGAAGGGCGAGTGGCCCTTGAGCAATTTGTACAGCATACACCCGAAGCTGAACCAGTCGGCACTGGAATCGTACGGTGTGCCCTTGGAAAGCACTTCCGGTGCCATGTAGCCATGTGTTCCTACCGAGGCGTGGGGCTTCTTTTTGCTGAAATCGCACGCCAGCCCCAGATCCGAAATCCGCACGTGACCGTTCTCGTCCAGCAGAATGTTGGCCGGTTTCAGGTCCCGATATACGATGAACCGCTTGTGCATGTGGTCCAGCCCGAGAATGACCTACATTAGATTCGATGGGGGGGTGGTAATAAAAGAGAAAAGAGATAAGTGAAAATGGAGAAAATTAAAACGGAAATGAAGCAGATAAGGTTTCGTTCGATTTCTCGCTTGGACAAAGTGGAACAAATGGGAATTGTTGAAGGCTGGGGTAGGGCAGCAGCAGCAGTAGCATTTCGCATTCGATTACATTGTCGAACGACACTGTTGTCATGTAAGGAAGGAATTGTGCGAGTGTATGATTGCATCCCAACGGATTTTGAAAACTTTTCCCCTCATTCCACAAGGAGCAGGAAATTCGATTCCATTACTCAAACCGTCTCCCAATGAATAATGAAACCGATAGCCGCTGCTACTGGAATTATGTCTTCATCCATTTCCCACATTTCGCCAGCAAAGCTCGCGGCAACCCAATTTCCGATCGCGTTTCACGGGAAGATTAATTCATTCTACCCTTGACAGTTCTTTTCCGTGTGTTGGCACCATCTTATATGTAAACGGTGCACTAGAGGCAAGCAGGCCGTGCCATATTCTGCATTCATGGCGACGACGACGACGACGAAGACGTCGCAGGCTGCTTTTTTCTTCCATCATCGAATATTAATATCCTAAAAGTGGAAAGGAGGCGCCGCTGCAGCTCACGGCCAAATTGATGAAGAGAAAATGCATCCCTTTTTCTGGTTTTCTTTATCGGAGTTCAAATTGGAAGTGGAAGGCACCTATCCATTGCCTATGGAAATTTTTCTAATAGAGCTAAAACGATTTCAGAAGAAGGCACTGTCGTCCTTAAATTTGGTATTTCGTTAACTACTATAATGCAGCTTTAATAGTTAAAGAGGATGCATCTGACCTTAATAATCAACCTTAAGGTCCGTTTTGACTATCTGATTTGTTGGTTTGGTTTTGGCCGCTGCCGTTGGACCAAGTCCAACTTGGTGTGTTACTCTGTGCTCTAAAAATTGACCATGAGCCCGGAGATTTTTCTATAACTTCTGGGAACTTGGTAAAACTTCAAGGACTTCTAAGAAATTCAGGGAAACATCGTAGAAATTCAGGAAACTCTGAGGCGCTATGTAACCTGCACAAATTCCTGAGACACTTCACATTTCAGTTAAGCAAAGTTGCCTATTTTGTTTGATCCAGTAAGTTTGCAAACATTGACTAACTAATTATGTATCTGCAGTGGGAAACAGTCCTGACGCACCCACCTTTGAATCCATCACCAAAAACTTTTCCCGCTCCCATCAGCTGGAACGACAGAAACTTCTGTTTCTGTTCACGGAAGCCCATCACGAGTTCGTCTGACAGCGGAAATTACGACACGCGGTGGCTACTAATCGGATTAAACTTATTCCTACCCATGACGACGCCGAACAACGCAACGATACCCCTTCTCATATCCCAAGCTCTCTATCTCTCCGAAATCATGATGGATTGGATAAAAGACACCGCCGCAGCGAAAAGAACGAACGGCAGACAGTGCCGGGAAGAGGAAAACCTTCCAATGTAAGTTAGTGACGCGTAAAGTTCGGTTCGCTTTCCTCAGACACGGAGGACATGGAGAAGTCCGCTAGTCGAACAATCATTTCCGGTTGGGAGTAGTTTTGAATTGGGTTGGAAAGGGGGGGGGGGGGATTTCCTCCTTTCTACAATAAAAGTAACCGACCACCGAGCAAGGCAAGGTGGAACTTTGTGCGGGTTCGTCGTGAAAAATTGCTTGATGCACAGTGGGTTCGAGATTGGTTGAGAAGGTTGCTCATTTTATCCTTCGACAATGTATCCTTCTAAGCTAGAGTAAGCCGCGCGTATTTGGCCAAACTCCTACTAGACGCAAGGGGTGGTCACTCTACAGTTCAATACTGTTACGCATTTGACCACAAACGTTTGGCTACTGGGTACAATATCAAAGAGCTTTGGGAGTGAGCCACATCACAGCAACGCGAGCAAAAGTTCAATGAAAATTTACTCTTAAACAACAGCAATTTATGGTGGTCCTGAAAAGAACCGTTTTGTCGTGATGGTTGGAATAATGCTGAGCTATAAGGGTGTTCAACACGGATGAGACTCGCGAGCTGTATGTTGTTTGGAACGCCGGTGAAGCGCTTGGATTAGATGGCCCACAGCGGCTCACGACGAGCAACTGAATCCGATCAGTAGCGGTGTGGCTTCCTCGGTGAATCGAGGGCTCTTGAGGGCAGCCTTGATAACTAGCTACTTGTTGGCCTTTATTTTTTTCTAGTACACAGTAGAAAAATGTACAACGCTTCGCGCCGAAAGCACTGTTGCTGCTGCTGCTGCTGCTGCTAGTGATGACGACCGACCGGACACCACCACACACGGTGATTTAATACGCAACATTTGACGACATTGGATGGAGTTAGATTTTGAAATCTGTTTTAGGGAAAAAGCTTTTTACAGTGATAATTTCAATCACCAAGGCAACAGTTCGACATTTGTGTAATTTTAACTAATGATCTATTGAAGATTAAAAAAATTGTAATTTTAGCAGATTTGTAGAAAAAATTCCAATCGATTGGCTTGTTTAGAATTAAAATCCATCCGCTATTGACAGAGTTGTAAGTGGTCAAAACCTGACCACTTTTCGTGACGCAGTCGATTTTGGTTTTTTGAAATTGCACCTCCCATATAGTACCGAATGACTTAATCCTACGTCAAAAAACTCAGTTGGAAGGAAATGCTGTACAGGTTGGACTCGATTATCCGGGGGTTCGATTAGCCGAGGGTTCAATTATCTGGTTCTCGATTATGGGGAGAAAATGGCTCGATTATCTGAAGTCATAATTTTTTTTCCTGCAGTATTGGATTTGACTGAGTAAAAACAAGAAGCAAAGGGTAAATACAACAACTATTGATACATTCTAACCATGATGAGCCAATTCGTGCTTTTTGGAGATAAACAAAGTGATATAGAAAGGTAAGGTGACGAAAGCATCCTGTAGTGACCATACCACACCATCAGTTTGAGATCTTCAGTACTATTTTAGTACCTGATCAACCTGAAGTCTTGAAAAAATATCCAGACGACTTTATGAAGATCTTAAAACTCACGAAGGACTTAGGAATAATTTATAAGCTGCCGTGTTTCATGTGAGAGAAAATCTGAAAAATGCGATATGGATTATGGAATACTTGGATATCTTTAAAATGATAACTGATCGATCTGAAATCTTGAAAAAACCCTGAAGTTTTCAATGTGATATCTTATTACTGGTTGTTATTTTAAATAATGTATGATGCCATGTTGATCTTTGATCATATCTTGGAGATATGATTTGAATCTTCAGAATGATGCCTGATCAAACTGACGTTTAAAAAAAAATATTTTGAGTATATTTCGGAGATCTATGATCACTTGTAGGTCTTTGCAATAATATCTGAGAAACCCTGGACCTTGAGAGGATATCTGGGAGATATGATTTGAATTGTTGTGCAGTTGAAGATCATCAGAATAATACCTAATCAAACTAAAGTCTTATTATTTAATATCTGAGGACTTTTGGAGATGTACGATCACCTGGAGGTCTTTAAAATAATTTCTGAGCAACCTGCTATTGGAGAGATTATCTAGGAGAGGTGATTTGAAATGTTGGGCCAATTAAGATCTTCAAAATTATACGTGATCAAGCTGAAGCTTAGAGTAAATATTCTGAGAACTTTTTGAAAATCTCCAATCACGTGGCAGTCTTTGAAATAATTTCTGACCAATCTGGTATTTGAGTGGTATAGAAGATCACAATCGACAATGTTCAGGCAATCTTCCAATGCGGGTGGTTTGATAAGAGCTTCCTTTACCGTAAACGTGACACCTGCCGAGTGGACCAATTTCAACTAGCAATACTCAGAGGGAGAGATGGGCGGAGAGAATGTTTTGAGCCAAATGAACTGTCAAAATCTAAGCCGATCGAACATTTCCATTAGAATTTTTCCGAGGATTTCTTATTCTTACTACATTAAATTTGAGAGTATTGCAATCGAGCAGAAATGCAATAACCTTTATGATTCGTGTGCTTCTCAAATTCAACTAGTATTTGGAATCAAAAACAATGTTCTAGCTCTATTGATTAATTGATCTTAGTTTATTAATTAATGGCACCAAGAAATTTGCCAAATCGGAAAGGTTGACGTGAGTAGATTTTACGGCACGGTACTGACGATGATCGAATTAAATAATCCACTGGATTCGATTGGCTCAGGGACCAGGTTGAGGGATTTGTCAACGAGGGCGGAATTATCCTACTCAACTATTTCATTGCCCTCGGCTGGTTGATTCCAAAAAGCTCGGTCGGTCACAATCGGCATAACAAATCCTTTCCAGTTCCATGTCGCAGCTTCGATCGGTGTACTTCCGATATTATACGCTCGCTTTTGGTTTGCAACATTTCAGCAAGCTATACAAAACATTTGAACTGTCAAAATACCGGGTTGCCAAACATACAATTATTCACAAACGGACTGCCTGGCACTCTCGGCACAGTGCGGCACACTTGAGGCACACTGAGAAAAATGTTGACGCAAAATAAGTGTGTAGTGTGCATACAAATTCTCGCAATGACCGAATACCACATGACCTTGTCAATTAACCAGAAACACTTCGAATTAAGGTAAGGTTTTCTGCAGGACGCTAGGAAAAGCAAAAAAATCTTGAATTCATATGATTGATTGCGAATCTTCCACAATTGGAAAAATTTTAGCAGGAAATTTCTCCAATAAATTCTCGCTTTTTAATACCTATTGAATAAGCCAGAAATTCCGTGCGTTTTTTGCACGAAAATGCGTAATTTCCGTTTCCGTGATGGGAAAAGTGATTTCCCTAACACAGTCACCGAGCACGTAATCCTACGTCAAATCTACGGTCGTGTCTTGGATAAAACCTCTTACTTTTTCTAAAACCGATGATCGTCATCTTGGATTCCAAATTGGCAACGATTTAGATTTTCAACCTTTACACGTTGTCTCCACTTCTAAAATTTCCATATTGTAGG